GCAGTGGGAACCATACTCAAGAGAGTTACTGCGACTGATGCTGACTATGAGCAAAACAGTAAGGTGATATATTCATTTTTACAAAGTGTTGGTAATGTATTACCATTATCCACACTGGTGAATATTAATTCTGAGACAGGGGATATAATTAGCCTTCAGTCTTTTAACCATGAAGAGTTGAAAACGTTTAAGTTTAAAGTTCAGGCTACAGACTCTGGTGTTCCTCCGCTCAGCAGCAACGTTACTGTTAATGTTTTTATCCTGGATGAAAATAATAATCCAACTATTTTAGCTCCTTATTCTGAGCACGGCTCTGTTAACAGTGAGACCATCCCTTATTCTGCTGAAGCGGGATACTTTGTAGCAAAGATCAGGGCTGTGGACGCAGATTCTGGATACAACGCGCTGCTTTCTTATCACCTGTCGGAGCCCAAAGGAAACAACCTGTTCAGGATCGGAACCAGCACCGGAGAAATCAGGACTAAGAGGAGAATGAGCGACAATGACCTGAAAAGTCACCCACTGATGGTGTTAGTTTCTGATAATGGAGAACCTTCTCTGTCAGCCACTGTTTCTATTGATGTGATGGTGGTTGAAAGCACAGCTGATGTCCAGACTCAGTTCAGACATGTTCCTATAAAGGAGGACAACTTCTCTGATTTGAACTTGTATCTACTGATCGCCATCGTGTCAGTGTCTGTGATCTTTCTGCTGAGTCTCATCAGTTTAATAGCTGTCAGATGCCACAGGACAGACAGTGATTTCAGCAGGTACAGCGCCCCCATGATCACCACCCATCCTGACGGGAGCTGGTCTTACTCTAAAGCTACTCAGCAGTATGACGTGTGTTTCAGCTCAGACACACTGAAGAGTGACGTAGTGGTTTTCCCCGCACCGTTTCCACCTGTAGATGCTGAACTGATCAGTATTAACGGGAGTGATACTTTTACCAGAACTCAGACTTTACCGAACACAGAGAAGGTAAGATGTTTATATTACTCACAGTTCTTGCATATGTAACTTCCAAAACTGAAGATGAAACATGACGTCGAAAACTGTTTTCTTTTTTTTATACGAGACAACAAAATGCGTTTAATATATGTCTTTGAATATTTTGTTAAAACATACTGCTGTGTGGGTTAGAAGAACTAAGTCATTTTCCATGGTGCTGAATTTATGTGATGAGCGAAAAAAAAAACTGTATTTTGTCGTAAGGATCTGGCAAAATATTGGTTCGTTTACTGTCATTGCAGATCATAAAGGCCGAAAATCAGTTCTATTGACATGTGTGGGTTTTTATAATACTCTCCGGACCTTTTTGTCACAAAAGGGAAACTATTCTTTAAAACTTCAAGTAGCTCCTTATTTGTTTCCCATGTTATGAATGCAGTTATTTCAAACAGCCACATGGGGACATCCTAGACCGTGACATGATGTCTGTTGTTTGCTACAGGCCCCTCCCAAATTCATAGGATGATATTTCCTCAGTGCTTTGTTACAAAGAGTCGCAAAACAGGAGTAGACGCACACCCTTTTGCGCATTCTGCTTACTCTTTGTTTTCATACCTCATGACGAACGTGAACTATCCAAAAATATTAAATGGAGATTAGAGTCCATACGATCGTTTGCGGAACTGGATAGCAATATGCCGACTGGACGGATACGCGGACCTTTAAGGATCTATTTGCTCTTTGTCATTTTGGAGTGCTGCTGGAAACTGGGATGTGGACAGCTGTCTTACTCTGTATCTGAGGAGGTAAATCCGGGCACTGCTGTGGGAAATCTCGCAAAAGATTTAAATCTTAACGTATTCGACTTGGAGGCCCGCATGTTTCAGATAGTCAGCGGATCGAAGAGAAAATATTTCGACATAAATCTGAAAACGGGCAGTCTTTACGTCACGGAAAGAATCGACCGAGAGGAGCTTTGTGTAAAAGCTGAGGAATGCATTGTTAATGTCGAGGCTGTTGTTAACAGTCCGCTCAAACTGTACCGACTGGCCATAAACATTATTGACATAAATGATAATGCGCCGTATTTTTCTGAAACGCTGCAGTCTCTCAATATAGCAGAGAGTACAGCACCGGGAGGGAAGTTTGGATTTGTGGGCGCATCAGACCGTGACGTCGGAAAGAACAGCGTTAGTACATACAAGCTAAGTCGAAATGATTATTTCTCCTTAGAGATCCACAAAGGCGAAGACAGTGTGTCGGCCGAACTTGTGCTTCTGAAAGCTCTTGACCGAGAACAACAGCCGACCATCAAACTCACTGTGACTGCTGTGGACGGTGGAAATCCACCAAAGTCAGGAACAGCAAGCATTATTGTCACTGTTATAGATAGCAATGACAACTCTCCAGTTTTCAGTAAGTCCTTGTATAAGACGAGAATATCTGAGAACGTATCAGTCGGTAGCACTGTTATAGTTTTGACAGCAGCAGATGCAGATGACGGGATAAATGCTGAAATAGAATATTCTTTAAGAATTAAAGGTCAAGATCGGGTTTTAGATCTTTTCCAGATTAACGCTAAAACAGGTGCGCTTCTAGTTAAAGGAAATATTGACTACGAAGAAAGCCCTGCCTTTGAAATTCATGCTGAGGCAAGTGACAAAGGCCATCCTCCGTTGTCTGCTCATTGTAAAGTGCTCGTAGAAGTAGCAGACGTAAATGATAACGCTCCTGAGATCATCGTAACATCGCTGTTTAACACAGTGAAAGAGGACGCACAAGTAGGTACAGCTATTGCTCTGGTTTCTGTGGTGGATAAAGATAGTGGGAAAAACGGGGAAGTGAAAGTTGTTATTATGAATGAAACACCACTTAAATTGGAAACGAATTACAAAAATTCTTACTCGTTAGTTGTGAACAGGCTGCTTGATAGAGAGATTGTTGCCGAATACAATATAACTATGGTGGCAACTGATGGGGGAACCCCATCGCTTTCCAGCACAAACGCTGTTAATATCCAAGTATCTGATGTTAACGATAATCCTCCACAATTTTCCGAACCACTGATAAATATTTACGTGAAAGAGAATAGTCCAGTGGGAACAGTTATTAAAATTGTCTCTGCAATTGATGCTGATCTTGATAATAATGGTAAGGTGAGCTACTCCCTTTTACAAACCAGCACTGATCAGCTGAGTTCATCTAAAATTGTTAATATTAATTCAGAGACCGGAGATATAATCAGTCTGCAGTCGTTTAACTTTGAGGAGTTGAAAACGTTTCAGTTTAAAGTTCAGGCTACAGACTCTGGTGTTCCTCCGCTCAGCAGCAACGTTACTGTTAATGTTTTAATCCTGGATGAAAATGATAATAATCCAACTATTTTAGCTCCTTATTCTGAGCACGGCTCTGTTAACAGTGAGACCATCCCTTATTCTGCTGAAGCGGGATACTTTGTAGCAAAGATCAGGGCTGTGGACGCAGATTCTGGATACAACGCGCTGCTTTCTTATCATCTGTGGGAACCCAAAGGAAACAACTTGTTCAGGATCGGAACCAGCACCGGAGAAATCAGGACTAAGAGGAGAATGAGCGACAATGACCTGAAAAGTCACCCATTGGTGGTGTTAGTTTCTGATAATGGAGAACCTTCTCTGTCAGCCACTGTTCCTATTGATGTGATGGTGGTTGAAAGCACAGCTGATGTCCAGACTCAGTTCAGACATGTTCCTATAAAGGAGGACAACTTCTCTGATTTGAACTTGTATCTACTCGCCATCGTGTCAGTGTCTGTGATCTTTCTGCTGAGTCTCATCAGTTTAATAGCTGTCAGATGCCACAGGACAGACAGTGATTTCAGCAGGTACAGCGCCCCCATGATCACCACCCATCCTGACGGGAGCTGGTCTTACTCTAAAGCTACTCAGCAGTATGACGTGTGTTTCAGCTCAGACACACTGAAGAGTGACGTAGTGGTTTTCCCCGCCCCGTTTCCACCTGTAGATGCTGAACTGATCAGTATTAATGGGAGTGACACTTTTACCAGAACTCAGACTTTACCTACAAAAGATAAGGTAAGAAGCAACATATATAAATATTTTTTCACTGTTGTAAATAGATTGGGTTTTCTTTATTTCGTTTCATTTCATAAAGGAATTGAACCTGCTGATGCTGTTAAGGTTGTCGGAGAACTGTTGTTTTTCTGACATCGGATTTTCTCTGATATTTAACATGAATATTACAACTTATTTGTGTGAACCAAAATTCCCACTGTGTTAACTGTTTTATCCACAACTCAACGACGATGAAAATGTGTGTCGTTATCCATGGTGCTGAAATAAGATGTCTGTTCATTGTGCGTTGTGTTTTATTATAAGTGAGGGGATTGTTTTGCAATCACATGATGAAGTTTATAGTCTGTCCCTGCCAATTACATCTTTGGCAACTGATTAATCATTCCTTGTTGGATTTTATAGTTTCAGTATGATAATTTTTAAGATTTTGTTTTTAGTATTATTTTTCTATTGGTTTGATTTTAGCCATGCTATATATAAACTTTTAAGGTATTAATTTTCTTTTGATTTGTTTGTTTTTAGCCACATATAATTTAAAAATAAACCAATATAAATTATCCTCAAGAAATAATTTTGTTCTTGCAGTTTTGCTTTAGTCTTTTATTTTGGGGATTACAATGTAATACTGGTTCGAAATAGTCAGGATTTTGTTGGCATTCTAACATAACAAAAACAATAATAACAGTAATATTTATATTCGTATAAATACAGTTGCAGCAGTGATTTTAGTTGTTGTTTGATATTTTGAAGTGAAATTATACAAAATATATACTTGTTTCTCGGAAAACGTGATTTGTAAAATATGGTCAGCTTCATTTCCTTGCATGCCCACATGGTGGCACTGAAGACCACGGCATGAAGGCAGTGGCGTTCTAGCGCCGTATAAAACTCCTCCCAGTCACAAGGGCTTGTGATGTTTCTGTTCTTTGTTAGAGAGGGAAGCAGACCGTGAGCGACGGAGAACATTAAGCCGACCGGAAACACGGTCAAGACTGGTTTTCGCTGCGCGTTTTTATTCCTGTTGAAAGGTTTACGCTGGATTTGAATTTGTGCATGTCACTCTGGATCCAATCATGTATTTTTCGCGAGGAGCGAGCTCTTTCTGGGATGCTGTTTCCGTCGTGCTGCTCTGCTGCAGCTGGGAAGTTGCAACCGCACAACTCTCGTATTCCATCTCAGAGGAGGTAAACCCCGGGACTTCAGTGGGAAATATCGCAAAGGATCTAAACCTTAAGGTCCAGGATTTAGAGCCTCGCATGTTCCAGATCGTCGATTCAGCAAAACGGAATTATTTCGACCTCGAATTGAAAACGGGGATTCTTTTTGTAAATAAAAGGATAGACCGAGAGGAGCTCTGTGCAAAATCCGCAAAATGCACCGTGAGCATAGAAGCTGTGATCAGCAACCCGATGAAGCTTTACCGTATAGAGGTGGCAATAAAAGACATCAATGACAACATGCCTGTTTTTTCTGAGCATTTGCAGTTGATTGACGTTCCCGAAAACACTTTACCTGGAGTCAAATTTAGTCTAATAGAAGCGTCAGACTTAGATGTCGGGAAAAACAGCGTTAATACTTACAAACTGGGAAGCAATGATTATTTCACATTGGAAATTCACAAAGGAGCAGAAAGCGTGTCCGCTGAGCTGGTGCTGGATAAAACACTGGACCGCGAACGAGACTCTATTATAAAACTCATTCTGACTGCCGTGGATGGAGGAAACCCACCAAAGTCAGGAACCTCGGAAATAGTCGTCACAGTTTTAGATACCAATGACAACCACCCTATTTTTAGTAAGTCTCTGTATAAGATTCAAATTCCAGAAAATATATCAACCGGCACAACAGTTGCCAATCTAAACGCAACAGATGCAGATGAGGGTTTAAATGGTGAGATAGAATACTCTTTGAGGAAGAAAGGACAGGATCGTGTTTTGGATTTATTTGATATTGACCCCAAAACAGGTGCGCTTCTCGTGAAAGGTAATATCGACTACGAAGAAAGCCCTGCCTTTGAAATTCATGCTCAGGCAAGTGACAAAGGCCATCCTCCTATGTCTGCTCACTGTAAAGTGCTGGTAGAAGTAGTAGACGTAAATGATAACGCTCCTGAGATCATCGTAACATCGCTGCAAAGCCAGGTGAAAGAGGACGCACAAGTAGGTACAGCTGTCGCTCTTGTGTCCGTGGTGGACAAAGACGGTGGGGAAAACGGGAAAATAAATACTCTCATTGTAAATGAAAACCCGTTTAAATTGGAAACAAATTACAAAAATTATTACTCATTGGTAGTTAATGAACCACTAAATAGAGAGACTCACGCTGAATACAAAGTAACTATAGTCGCAATCGATGAAGGGTCTCCATCGCTTTCCAGCACAAACGCTGTTAATATCCAAGTATCTGATGTTAACGATAATCCTCCACAATTTTCCGAACCACTGATAAATATTTACGTGAAAGAGAATAGTCCAGTGGGAACAGTTATTAAAATTGTCTCTGCAATTGATGCTGATCTTGATAATAATGGTAAGGTGAGATACTCCCTTTTACAAACCAAAACTGATCACCTGAGTTCATCTAAATTTGTTAATATTAATTCAGAAACCGGAGATATAATCAGTCTGCAGTCCTTTAATTATGAGGAGTTGAAAACGTTTCAGTTTATAGTTCAGGCTACAGACTCTGGTGTTCCTCCGCTCAGCAGCAACGTGACTGTCAATGTTTGTATTCTGGATGAAAATGATAATAATCCAACTATTTTAGCTCCTTATTCTGAGCACGGCTCTGTTAACAGTGAGACCATCCCTTATTCTGCTGAAGCGGGATACTTTGTAGCAAAGATCAGGGCTGTGGACGCAGATTCTGGATACAACGCGCTGCTTTCTTATCACCTGTCGGAGCCCAAAGGAAACAACCTGTTCAGGATCGGAACCAGCACCGGAGAAATCAGGACTAAGAGGAGAATGAGCGACAATGACCTGAAAAGTCACCCATTGGTGGTGTTAGTTTGTGATAATGGAGAACCTTCTCTGTCAGCCACTGTTTCTATTGATGTGATGGTGGTTGAAAGCACAGCTGATGTCCAGACTCAGTTCAGACATGTTCCTATAAAGGAGGACAACTTCTCTGATTTGAACTTGTATCTACTGATCGCCATCGTGTCAGTGTCTGTGATCTTTCTGCTGAGTCTCATCAGTTTAATAGCTGTCAGATGCCACAGGACAGACAGTGATTTCAGCAGGTACAGCGCCCCCATGATCACCACCCATCCTGACGGGAGCTGGTCTTACTCTAAAGCTACTCAGCAGTATGACGTGTGTTTCAGCTCAGACACACTGAAGAGTGACGTAGTGGTTTTCCCCGCACCGTTTCCACCTGTAGATGCTGAACTGATCAGTATTAATGGGAGTGACACTTTTACCAGAACTCAGACTTTACCAAACACAGACAAGGTAAGACCATGTTTTACAGTTTTTGTGACGTTTGACGTGCGTTATTGTTTACTTTGGAACATAACTATTTAGAATGTGTATTTTTCAATACTTTGTCAGAAGCGTCATTCAAAGCTGATTGACTACTTATATGCAACTATAACACATTATTATGGTTTCAGACAGTAGCAAGTTGAGTGTGAAAAAAACGTAAAGTGCTTAAGTTTCCGAATAGCAATATTTTTCCTAAGTTTTTTAAAAAACAAATTAGATCTCTTGATTTATACATTTATTTATATTATGCATCCAAATCCAAAATATTTCATCTAAAAGGAGATTGCATAAGGAATGCTATTGCCCGAAATTAGTCTTGTGGAATCACAACACCATTAGTCAGTAAATATAGATGTGGTATGAATGTGAAATGTTAAGTTTGCCTACTGAGGTTTTTGAGGCTACATGCATTCATTCATTCATTGAAGCAATTTTTTTGTCATTATTTTCAGCAGAAGAGCTGGGTTTTGTGTTTACTGCGACTTTTAATGTTGAAGTGATGGCAGTTTCTCTTGTAATTGTTTCTCGCTGTCCGTGGTGCTGAATGCGATTGTAGTAATACATGTATAAAGAAGACGTGTTCTCATTTGCAAAACCGTGTTGAATGAGAATCTTTGAGTTTATATAAACTCATTTTAATGAAGTCATATATAAATTCATGTTCTTTCCTGAGTCTTAATATTATATCTACAATAATAGTAATTATTATAAACCATTTAATACTGGTTCAGCACAGCAAATACAGATTATCTCGTTTATTTATTATGAAGCAACTTTCTTCCCTCGAAAAAAAAAAGAAACAAAAAAACGTTAATAATAATAATGATGATAATTTTAGTCCTTATAATATTAATAATAAAACAAAAAATATGAAATAAAATTTAAAATATTTTTTAATGAAATGGTGCGAGACTTATTGTAATTACCTTTATTCAGTATGAATAACTTAGAAAGAAAACAAAATTTGATTTTTGCATCACTTTCTGATTTTTTTATTTATTTTTACTTATTTTTTTATTAGAAAATAGTTAATCAGAGCAGAATAATTTATGTTATTGGACAGAAACTGGTGATGCGCTGCATGTTTTGTAGTGAATACACTTCCTGCATGTGTCCGCATGGGGACATTGTAGACCATCACATTTCGGATGGATGTATGGATTCTCGGGCTCCTCCCTTCTTATTGCGTGGTTAAAAAAAAAACACAGAGACAAAGGAAGACAGAGAAGGACGAGGGACGGAGCAGCGACCTTTTTTTCTTTCTACTGAAAATACACCGCTGTCATTATTCTGTGTTAATATGTTTGGATCTTACGTCTAGAGTAACGACTTTATTTTTGCAGTTAGTTATATATATTTCAAGTTTAATGTAAACATGCATAGACCGGATAGGCCTAAATCTGCGTGGATATATCTCGCCATCGTTCTGGTGGATTGTCACCTGGAAGCAGCTTTCGGTTTTCTTTCTTACTCCGTATTAGAGGAAGTGGACCGCGGAAGCTTTGTCGGAAACATTGCCAAAGATCTCAACATAAATACCCAGGAGCTGGAATCCCGCATGTTTCAGATCGTTGCGGGATCGAAGAGGAAATATTTCGAGGTAAACCTGCGGACCGGCGCTCTGTACGTCAACGAGAGAATAGATCGGGAGGAACTCTGCGGTGATGAAGATAAATGCTCACTAAATGTCGAAGGAGTTATTAATAATCCACTTAAACTCTACCGCTTTGAAATTACAATCCTGGATGTGAATGATAATTCCCCGTCGTTTCCAAATCCGTTGCTGTCAATGAATGTGAGTGAAAACACCGCGACGGGGGCAAAATTCCCAATGAACCCTGCTGAAGATTTAGACGTTGGTAAAAACGCTGTTAATATGTACAAGCTCAGTCAAAATAACTATTTTTCTCTGGCTACACATAAAGGAGAAAGTGTCACTCCTGAAATCGTGCTACAGAAATCCTTAGATAGAGAAAAACAAGCTTTGATTCAGCTAATATTAATTGCCTTTGACGGAGGAACACCGGCTAAGTCAGGCAGCATGATCATAACAGTGAACGTTTTGGACAGCAATGACAACGCGCCGGTATTCACGCAAAATCTGTACAAAGCCACGCTGTACGAAAATGCTGAAATAGGCACGTCGATAATAACGGTGAACGCAACTGATTTGGATGCGGGAAAAAATGGAGAAGTTGTGTATTCTTTCAGCGGAATGGGTCGTGGGAAACAAACAAATGTTTTCAAAATAGAAAAAACAACAGGCATAGTGACTAACAAGAAGAATGTGGACTTTGAAGAGAACACTGCTTTCGAGATTCGAGTGCAAGCCAGTGACAGCGGCACGTCACCTCTGACGTCACATGCTAAATTACTGATTGAAGTTTTAGATGTGAACGACAACGCTCCTGAAATTACAGTTACCTCCCTGTTAAATACTGTTAAAGAGGATGCACCAGTCGGCACCGCAATTGCTCTTGTTTCGGTATTTGACAGAGACAGTAATAAAAACGCCATGGTTAATTGCGAAATCTCTAATGATGTCCCTTTCAAATTAGAGTCGAATTATAAGGATTATTATTCTTTAGTTGTGGGAGGACGTCTAGACAGAGAAAACGCGCCTCATTACAATATCAGCATCGCTGCTAGAGATGAGGGCAGCCCACCTCTCTCCAGTAACAGCTGGATACTTGTGCATGTGTCAGATGTAAATGATAATGCACCTATTTTTACAGAGAGAACAATAAATATATTTATAAAAGAAAACAATCCAACAGGAGGAATTATTAGAAAAGTGTCCGCAGTTGATGCAGACACTGATGAAAATGGCCAGGTAAGCTACGAATTTTTAATTGACAATAGAAACCCGCTGCCACTCAGATCATTGATAAACATAAATTCAGAGACTGGAGAGATAACCTGTTTGCAGTCCTTCAACTATGAGGAATTGAAAAAAATTCATTTTATAGTTCAGGCTACAGACTCTGGTGTTCCTCCACTCAGCAGCAACGTTACTGTTAATGTTTTTATCCTGGATGAAAATGATAATAATCCAACGATTTTAGCTCCTTATTCTGAGCACGGCTCTGTTAACAGTGAGACCATCCCTTATTCTGCTGAAGCGGGATACTTTGTAGCAAAGATCAGGGCTGTGGACGCAGATTCTGGATACAACGCGCTGCTTTCTTATCACCTGTCGGAGCCCAAAGGAAACAACCTGTTCAGGATCGGAACCAGCACCGGAGAAATCAGGACTAAGAGGAGAATGAGCGACAATGACCTGAAAAGTCACCCATTGGTGGTGTTAGTTTGATATATGGAGAACCTTCTCTGTCAGCCACTGTTTCTATTGATGTGATGGTGGTTGAAAGCACAGCTGATGTCCAGACTCAGTTCAGACATGTTCCTATAAAGGAGGACAACTTCTCTGATTTGAACTTGTATCTACTGATCGCCATCGTGTCAGTGTCTGTGATCTTTCTGCTGAGTCTCATCAGTTTAATAGCTGTCAGATGCCACAGGACAGACAGTGATTTCAGCAGGTACAGCGCCCCCATGATCACCACCCATCCTGACGGGAGCTGGTCTTACTCTAAAGCTACTCAGCAATATGACGTGTGTTTCAGCTCAGACACACTGAAGAGTGACGTAGTGGTTTTCCCCGCACCGTTTCCACCTGTAGATGCTGAACTGATCAGTATTAATGGAACAGACACTTTTACCAGAACTCAGACTTTACCGAACACAGACAAGGTAAGATTAAATTTTCAGTAATGTTGTCTTTTCGTGCTCTATGTCCATGGTGGTTTGTTGATTCCTCTCTGCTATAGTTAAGTTGTATTTGACATTTCTTCAGGTTATTTAGTATCTGTTTTCCCATTTTCTGTTTAAGTGCTCCTTAAGCAAACGTTGAATATGCATACACATGACTGAAGGTTTTAAAAATTCTGAAATAATAAAACAAAAGTCATTACTGTTGATATTATTATTTTTATTTTATTTTATGGCACAACATGTCTTTATACCAAAGCTTGCTTGCTGAATGCGCTCATGGGTTCTGGTGTTGCTGATTGAGAGTTCTGTTCTGCTGCCAACCTCTGAAGCAAAACTGTGATTGGAGCAATTCACAGTTGTTGTTCGAACTTATACAGCCTCATTAATTTTCTCATAAGACATCATACCTTAATGAGTCGAAATAGATGAAAAATAAATCAGTATGGAAAATCATAATGACACACACACACGCACACACACAGACTTACACACGCACACACACAACTATTATACATAGTCCTTCATGATATACTTTTATTTAAAAAATCTATTTTTGCCTTATTGTGTAATGAAGACAAAACGACAACAGGGGGCGATGTCGACCTTTACATATTGAATTGAATACTGAAGTCCGTCCCTTTTAATACGTGATTATGTTTTCTTGGGCTTTGGCACAAAGCGACGAAGAAGCACAGAGGGGAGACAACGCTATATGAGCTACCCTGAGGACTATTTGAAAAGAAAGGGGCACAACTTTCGTTTTTGCTGGATCTACAGTGAAGGATATATCTATTTCTTTCTTTCTCCCGGTCGGATTATGAATTCAGTGCAAGAGATTCCTGCGTTGACAATCACATTATTTATTCTGCTTGGCTGCGGGCGGATTTCGGTGTCCGGGCAGTTCTCTTACTCCATATCTGAAGAGGTAAATCCGGGAACCTCAGTGGGAAATATCGCCAAAGATCTAAACCTCGGTCTGCACGAGTTGGAAGCTCGCATGTTTCAAATTGTCAACGGAGCAAAGAAAAAACATTTCGAGGTAAATCTGAAGACAGGTGTTCTCTTTGTCAGCGACAGAATCGACAGAGAGGAGCTGTGTGCAAAAGCAAAGAAATGCACAGTGAGCGTCGAAGCTGTGATTAATTCTCCTCTGAAGCTTTATCGTTTAGAGATAAATATTATAGACGTTAACGACAATTCTCCGTCTTTTACTAGCACTTCTCAAAATATTGAAATAGCAGAAAGCACTCTGCCTGGGACTAAATTTCTAGTTTTGTCAGCTTATGATGCAGACGTGGGACAAAATGACATCAGTGCATATAAGCTGAGTACAAACGATCATTTCTCATTATCGGTGAACAAAGGAGAGAAAGTGTCTGCTGAACTCATTCTGCAAAAACCTTTAGACCGAGAGAAACAGTCTGTTATTAGTCTGACGCTGACTGCTGTCGATGGAGGAACACCAGTAAAATCCGGAACATCACAGTTAGTTATACATGTTTTGGACAATAATGATAACGTACCAATGTTTGCTCAACCTTTATACAAATCAAGTATTACCGAAAATTCGCCACTTGGTACATCGGTGATAACAGTTATGGCGACAGACAAAGATGAAGGGCCAAACGGAGCGATTTCCTACTCACTTGGCAGCAAAGACCAAGAACACATTTTAGACATCTTTGAAATTGATGAACGAACAGGTTTAATAACTGTGAAAGGAAACATTAACTTTGAAGAGCACCCGGTTTTTGAAATACGCGTTCAGGCCAGTGACAGAGGGACTCCTCCCATGACCTCGCAGTGCAAGGTGCTGATAGAAGTAATCGATTTAAATGATAATGCTCCCGAAATATCTGTAACCACTCTCATTGACACCGTTAAAGAAGACACAAAATTGGGAACAGCTATTGCACTTGTCTCGGTTGTAGATAAAGACGGGGGTAGAAACGGAATAATTCATTGCAACGTTAAAAATAAAACTCCATTCAAGTTGGAAACGAATTACAAAAATTATTACTCTTTGGTGGTGGACAGCCAGCTGGACCGAGAAACTGATTCATATTACAATGTGACCATCGTCGCTTCAGATGACGGGAAACCCACTCTGACGAGCACAAAGGATTTTAGAGTTTTTGTTTCCGATGTGAATGACAACTACCCACAATTTTCAGACTCTGTGTTCAATGTGTATTTAAAGGAGAACGCTCCGGTAGGAACGGTTTTAAAAAGAGTATCTGCATTAGACGCGGACATTGATCAGAATGCTCAAGTGACTTTTTCAGTTGCTGAAAGTAATGGCAACATGCAGCTTTCGTCGATGGTAAATATTAATTCAGAGACTGGAGATATTATAAGCTTGCAGTCGTTTAATTTTGAGGAGTTAAAGACGTTTCAGTTTAAAGTTCAGGCTACAGACTCTGGTGTTCCTCCGCTCAGCAGCAACGTGACTGTTAATGTTTTTATCCTGGATGAAAATGATAATAATCCAACTATTTTAGCTCCTTATTCTGAGCACGGCTCTGTTAACAGTGAAACCATCCCTTATTCTGCTGAAGCGGGATACTTTGTAGCAAGACCAGGGCTGTGGACGCAGATTCTGGATACAACGCGCTGCTTTCTTATCACCTGTCGGAGCCCAAAGGAAACAACCTGTTCAGGATTGGAACCAGCACCGGAGAAATCAGAACTAAGAGGAGAATGAGCGACAATGACCTGAAAAGTCACCCATTGGTGGTGTTAGTTTCTGATAATGGAGAACCTTCTCTGTCAGCCACTGTTTCTATTGATGTGATGGTGGTTGAAAGCACAGCTGATGTCCAGACTCAGTTCAGACATGTTCCTATAAAGGAGGACAACTTCTCTGATTGAACTTGTATCTACTGATCGCCATCGTGTCAGTGTCTGTGATCTTTCTGCTGAGTCTCATCAGTTTAATAGCTGTCAGATGCCACAGGACAGACAGTGATTTCAGCAGGTACAGCGCCCCCATGATCACCACCCATCCTGACGGGAGCTGGTCTTACTCTAAAGCTACTCAGCAGTATGACGTGTGTTTCAGCTCAGACACACTGAAGAGTGACGTAGTGGTTTTCCCCGCACCGTTTCCACCTGTCGATGCTGAACTAATCAGTATAAATGGGAGCGATACTTTTACCAGAACTCAGACTTTACCCAACAATGAAAAGGTAAGATGCGAGCTTAACGTTTATCTCAGCAGGTTTTGTTCCTCACGATTGTGTGTGTCTTCTTCATTTCGACAACAATATGTTGATTTTAGCTAAAAAAAAAAAAAAATTATAAAAAATATTTATATAAAATATATATTATATATATATATATATAATATATATATATATATATATATATATATATATATATATATATATATATATTATATATATATATATATATATATATTTGAGTTGTTATTTTTTTGAGTTGTTATTTTTAATTAAATTTTCTTGTTGGTACAATGTATTGTTTAAATGTCCACACTCGAGTCACTATTGGAAGTGTGTTCGGGGAGCTGGCCACGGTGCTGAAAGTCGAGACGGTCATTTGTCTCCGCTCTGTTCGTGTTTGTATATATAATTGATATGAATATGTGGCCTATTACTTAGGTCATCCTAAAAAAAAAAATAATTAAAAACAAACAAAAAAAAACCCCGTCTAGAACTCTCCAAGATCGATTTTGAAAGAATAAAAAAAAATGTAAAAAAGTATTTAGTATAATATGGATTTTCTTTCAGTTTGATAATTTGAAGTTAAACTCCAACACATTCTTTGAGGTCCTCCATTACAGAATCTCTTCCAGACAAAGACGATCCAAGAGAGAAGAAAATATTAGAGAACTTTTATGGATCTAAAATAAATCAATAAATAAAATAAATAAACAATAAAGCTATTCAGCAGGTTTGGAAAGACACATTGTTGAGAAAATATGATAGAGCGCATGGTGTAAGTTTGAAATGAAACGATTGCCACAGGGTGTAGGTTTTGGATTTGACCACACGGGGACATTGTAGACCGTCACATCTGAAATGCGTTTCTGATTTAACGGAACTCCTCCCAGAGCCAGATGACGTTTCTTGAAACAAAGGGAAGAGACGCTTAAAACAGACCAGCGGTGTCGCTACCATTGGGTTATTTTTATTATTTATTTCTCGAAGAGGATTGCCTCATTTACTTTGAGTGTTCACAGAAGGATTTTGAATCTATGTTTTCCATGCATTTTTGGCAAGATGATTCTTCAGGGGAGGACTAGCTTTGTGTGGATATACTTCGTCTTTGTGCTGCTGCTTTGCTGCTGGGAAGCGGCTCTCGGACAGCTTTCATACTCCGTATCAGAGGAGGTAAACCAAGGGACCGTGATCGGAAATATAGCCAAAGATCTCAACCTAAATGTTAAGGATCTCGACACTCGCATGTTCCAGATCGTTGCAGGATCGAAGAAAAAATATTTTGAGGTAAATCTAAAGACCGGTGCTCTTTACGTCAACGAGAGAATAGATCGAGAGGAACTGTGTGGCGCTGAAGCAAAATGCTCAATAAGTGTAGAAGCGGTTCTTAATAATCCTCTAAAATTGCACCGCATTGAAATTCTGATTCTGGACGTAAACGATCATTCTCCTAGTTTCCTTACTGGTCGTCAAATGATTAACATCAGTGAAAGCACGGCGGCAGGAACCAAATTTCCGCTGCATCCCGCCCATGATGCGGACATTGGCAAAAATACAGTGCAAACCTACAGGCTTAGTCAGAACGAACACTTTTCTCTAGCGATACAAAAAGGAGAGAGTGTAACGCCTGAACTGGTCATTCAGAAAGTGTTAGACAGAGAAAAGTTGTCTGTAATTCGGCTCATTTTGACGGCTCTGGATGGAGGAACGCCTGCAAAATCAGGCTCCATGGTGGTTGTCATTAATGTGTTGGATATTAATGACAACGCCCCTGTTTTCAGTCAAACTCTGTACAAAGCCAGGGTGTACGAAAACGCAAAGCTCGGAACGCCAATTATAACTTTAAATGCTACCGATTTGGACGCGGGGAAAAACGGACACGTGACATACTCATTCAGTGAAGTAGGTCGTGGTAAACATACTGAGCTCTTTGAAATTAATGAAGATACCGGAACAGTGACAAACAAGAAGAACATAGACTTTGAAGAGACCAATGCATTTGAGATTCGAGTTCAGGCCAGTGATGGAGCTTCCTCACCCATGACTTCATATGCTAAATTACTTATTGAAGTACTAGATGTGAACGACAACGCTCCTGAAATTACAGTCACTTCCCTTTTAAATACAGTGAAAGAGGATTCATCCATTGGCACCGCGATTGCTCTTGTTTCTGCATTCGATAAAGACAGCAGTAAAAATGGAGTGGTGAACTGCAAAATTTCAGACAACATCCCTTTTAAACTAGAGTCAAACTATAAGAATTACTATTCTTTAGTTGTGGATGGGCCCCTGGACAGAGAACGAGCACCTTATTATAATATTTGCATCACAGCCACAGACAATGGGAGCCCGCCGCTTTCAAACACCAGCGTCATTATTGTTCACGTTTCTGATGTGAATGATAACAGACCTCATTTCACAGAAGATATTACAAACATTTTCATAAAAGAAAACAGTGCAACAGGAAAAGTTATTAAAAAAGTGTCAGCAGTGGATGCAGACATTGAACAGAATGCTCAAATTAGTTATTCAATTTTACATAATAACAGTAACTCGCTGCCCCTTAGTTCCTTGCTAAGTATAAACTCACAGACTGGAGATATAATCAGTCTGCAGTCCTTTAATTATGAGGAACTGAAAACGTTTCAGTTTATAGTTCAGGCTACAGATTCTGGTGTTCCTCCACTCAGCAGCAACGTTACTGTTAATGTTTTAATCCTGGATGAAAATGATAATAATCCAACGATTCTAGCTCCTTATTCTGAGCACGGCTCTGTTAACAGTGAGACCATCCCTTATTCTGCTGAAGCGGGATACTTTGTAGCAAAGATCAGGGCTGTGGACGCAGATTCTGGATACAACGCGCTGCTTTCTTATCACCTGTCGGAGCCCAAAGGACACAACCTGTTCAGGATCGGAACCAGCACCGGAGAAATCAGGACTAAGAGGAGAATGAGCGACAATGACCTGAAAAGTCACCCACTGGTGGTGTTAGTTTCTGATAATGGAGAACCTTCTCTGTCAGCCACTGTTTCTATGGATGTGATGGTGGTTGAAAACACAGCTGATGTCCAGACTCAGTTCAGACATGTTCCTATAAAGGAGGACAACTTCTCTGATTTGAACTTGTATCTACTGATCGCCATCGTGTCAGTGTCTGTGATCTTTCTGCTGAGTCTCATCAGTTTAATAGCTGTCAGATGCCACAGGACAGACAGTGATTTCAGCAGGTACAGCGCCCCCATGATCACCACCCATCCTGACGGGAGCTGGTCTTACTCTGAAGCTACTCAGCAGTATGACGTGTGTTTCAGCTCAGACACAATGAAGAGTGACGTAGTGGTTTTCCCCGCACCGTTTCCACCTGTAGATGCTGAACTGATCAGTATAAATGGGAGCGATACTTTTACCAGAACTCAGACTTTACCAAGCAAAGAGAAGGTAAGATCGTTGCTAATTTTTTGTTACTTCCTGTTGTATCGCTGTATTTTTTTGTGTATGTCCGATTCGTTGAAATATTATAAATGCAGCTAACAATGTTATTGAATACGTGATCTTTCTGCTGAGTCTGATCAGTTCATTTTCAATTAACTTTTCAATTAGAATTAAGCTATAAATAATGGCCTCAATAATAATAAATAATAAATAAAAAATAAACAGTCGCTGAATGTTTGTGCGGTTTCCGTCGTTAGTGCTCAATAGAAAGTATTTAATTTCCCATATTATGGTTCATATTATTTATTTCATTTTTAATTCAAGTATGTCTCCATACCCGATAAAAAACGTTTCCTCTCTGCATGGGATTTTTTAAAAACAACTTTTAATGCAATTACACGTGTATTACTTCTATTCTACAAAGAGCAAAATTCCAAAAACGTGCAGGAAACCTGAACATATGACGGCTCAGATCATCCTATTTACTTTTGCAGAATTATATAGAACTTTTTCTGCTGTTGAAATGTTGTGTATTCAAATCACTTTTTACTTACGTTACCATAGTCCTCGTCAGTCCTACTTAATGGAACCTCCAAGTTTTAACAAAACGGAAAAAATATAATTTTCTAAAATCGAGAAAAAAATATTCAAACATTTGTTTGATTACGTTTGCCTGTTTTGTGATTATTTTCTTTTTTTCTGCGTTGTAAAGATGGCAATATTATATAATAGCTTTTGCATATTTTAATGTTTTGCCGATTCATAAAAAAATACGATATTTCAGGTGTTTTTCTTCGTAGGAATTTTTTTTTGTTTGTTTTGTTTTTTGGAGTTGGGTGTAGTTTTCGCGGCTGTCCGCACGGGGACATTGTAGACCATTACATCTGAATTTCCTTTTTATTGCCACGGACTCCTCCCAGAGTCAGACGGTGAGGATGATGTTTCTCTGACGTTTGAAACAAAGAGGTTGAAACACAACGACGAAAGGAAGAATTTGTGGAGCTTCGGGTTTTCCTTCTTAGCAGATTCCTGAATACCTATTGCTTTTATTTCACAGCGTATCGGAATCTTTTTTTATTTGTGAGTCCTTTCTTTCGTGGAGACATGATTTTTCCGGGGAGAACAACGTTTGTGTGGATATACTTCGTCTTTGTGCTGCTGCTTTGCTGCTGGGAAGAGGCTTTAGGACAGCTCTCTTACTCCGTGTCAGAGGAGGTAAACCAAGGGACTGTGATAGGAAATATTGCAAAGGATCTCAATCTAAATGTCAAGGACTTAGAAACCCGTTTGTTCCAGATCGTCGCAGGATCGAACAAAAAATATTTTGAGGTAAATCTAAAGACCGGATCGCTTTATGTTAACGAGAGAATTGATCGAGAGGAACTGTGCGGCAATGGAGAAAAATGTTCAGTAAGTGTAGAAGCAGTTATGAACAATCCTCTGAAATTGTACCGCATGGACATTGCCATTTTAGACGTGAATGATAATTTACCTTCATTCACCAGCACGTCTCAGATGATCAACATTAGCGAAAGTATGACAGTGGGAACTAAATTCCCGTTGCATTCAGCTCATGATGCAGACATAGGAAAAAATTCAGTGAGTACTTACAGACTGAGTCAGAATGAACACTTTACTCTACTAACACAAAAAGGAGAAAGAATAACACCAGAACTAGTGCTTCAGAAAGTGTTAGATAGGGAGAAACAGTCTTTGATTCGGTTAATAGTGACGGCTGTTGATGGAGGAACACCTGCTAAATCAGGTAGTATGACAATAATAATAAATGTTTTGGACAACAATGACAACTTTCCAGCATTCAGTCAAAGTCTATACAAAGCAAAGGTGTATGAGAATGTAAAAATAGGGACATTAATAATAAGACTAAATGCCACAGATTTAGATGAAGGACAAAATGCACAACTAATTTATTCATTTAGCGAAGTAAGTGGAAAAGAGACGGATCTCTTTGCGATAGATGAAAATACAGGGCATGTGACAAATAAAAAGAATATCGACTTTGAAGAGAGTAATGCATTTGAACTTAGAGTGCAGGCCAGAGATCAAGGCCACTCACCTCTCACCTCACATGCTAAACTGCTTATTGAAGTTTTAGATGTGAACGACAATGCTCCAGAAATTACAGTTACCTCCTTGTTGAATACAGTGAAAGAGGATGCAACCATTGGCACAGCGATTGCTCTTGTTTCAGTGCTTGATAAAGATAGCAGTAAAAACGCTATAGTGAATTGCAAAATTTCCAATAATGTTCCTTTTAAACTAGAGTCAAACTATAGGAATTATTATTCTTTAGTTGTGGATGGACCTCTCGACAGAGAAAAAGTGCCACATTATGATATTAGCATCACAGCGGAAGATGAGGGCAGCCCACCTCTCTCCAGCACAACTGTGGTTCTTGTTCATGTCTCTGATGTAAATGATAACAGACCTCATTTCCCAGAAGACATAATAAACATCTTCATAAAAGAAAACAGTGCAACAGGAGAAGTTATTAAAAAAATGTTGGCAGTGGATGCAGACATTGAACAGAATGGTAAAATTAGTTATTCAATTTTACATGATAACAGTAACTCACTGTCGATAAGATCAATGATAAACATCAATTCAGAAACAGGAGAAATAGTCAGTCTGCAGTCTTTTAACTATGAGGAGCTGAAAAACATTCATTTTAAAATTCAAGCCACAGACTCTGGTGTTCCTCCACTCAGCAGCAACGTGACTGTTAATGTTTTAGTCCTGGATGAAAATGATAATAATCCAACTATTTTAGCTCCTTATTGTGAGCACGGCTCTGTTAACAGTGAGACCATCCCTTATTCTGCTGAAGCGGGATACTTTGTAGCAAAGATCAGGGCTGTGGACGCAGATTCTGGATACAACGCGCTGCTTTCTTATCACCTGTCGGAGCCCAAAGGAAACAACCTGTTCAGGATCGGAACCAGCACCGGAGAAATCAGGACTAAGAGGAGAATGAGCGACAATGACCTGAAAAGTCACCCACTGGTGGTGTTAGTTTCTGATAATGGAGAACCTTCTCTGTCAGCCACTGTTTCTATTGATGTGATGGTGGTTGAAAGCACAGCTGATGTCCAGACTCAGTTCAGACATGTTCCTATAAAGGAGGACAACTTCTCTGATTTGAACTTGTATCTACTGATCGCCATCGTGTCAGTGTCTGTGATCTTTCTGCTAAGTCTCATCAGTTTAATAGCTGTCAGATGCCACAGGACAGACAGTGATTTCAGCAGGTACAGCGCCCCCATGATCACCACCCATCCTGACGGGAGCTGGTCTTACTCTAAAGCTACTCAGCAGTATGACGTGTGTTTCAGCTCAGACACAATGAAGAGTGACGTAGTGGTTTTCCCCGCCCCGTTTCCACCTGTAGATGCGGAACTGATCAGTATAAACGGGAGTGATACTTTTACCAGAACTCAGACTTTACCAAACACAGATAAGGTAAGAATGCAGCTTGAGTAATGTTAATATCTCTTTGTATTTTGTGGAAATAAGTTTTTCTTTTCAAGCCTCAGCTGCATCTTGCCTGCTGCTTATATAATTTTATGCAGCACAACCTTGCAGCTGCGTTTTTAATACATCATGTCTATATGTCTTAATACATTGCGATGCTCTCTCTATTTCCAGTTATTTCTTTATTTTATAACCGCCTTTTTCTATTATTATATTTCTTTGTTTTTTGGGGACTTTTTTATATTTATTTAGAAGGTAGGTAAATTACATATTTTGATTTTATTATATCTGATAGATGCGGAAAATATTACGTTATATTTCTAAGTTCATAAAATATCATATTAAATAAAAATGCTGCTGGTCAGTAGGATTCCTCGAGCAATGCAATTGAAAATAATGTCTAATTTTGGTGTAAGCAAAGCAAAACCGAAACTTCGCGTTTTGAGAACAACGTCGTTGGCGCTCTGCAACTTTTATGCGAAGTCAAAGTTAATATATTTTGTATTAATATGAGGACTGACGATTCATTCCAGAAAAAACAAAACAAAAAAAAAACAATAGAAAAGTCGTAATTTAAGCTATGAGTTGCCGAGAAAAATTAAAATTCACTTTATTTTGGAATTTTATAAATAATGTACGTAGCAGAGGTTCATGTGTCAGTGTTGGCTGTAATTGTCGCTTTTGTCCACGAGGGGACATTATAGACCGTCACATCTAGATTTGCACCACGGCTTCTCAACTCCTCCCAGTTTCAAAGCTGGATAATGTTCTATGGTTTTGAAACAAAGGGAGGAACAGGGTGAAGAACCAAGACGCCTGGGCGACTTCTTCTTGAAAATAACACTATTTCTTTGTTTGGAACGGAACGGATTTTTCCGATCATGTTGTGACGTGAGCAAGGATATTATTTTTTTCCGGTACGTGTTTGTTTTTGAACTGGGAAAATGTATTTTAAGGCCAGATTAAGATGTGTATGGATACACCTCGTCTTTGTGCTGCTGGGCTGTTACTGGGAAGCGGTTTCAGGACAACTTTCTTACTCCGTGTTTGAGGAGGTAAATCCGGGGACAGCTGTCGCAAATATTGCGAAGGATCTCAACCTTAATGTTCAGGACCTGGAGACTCGTATGTTCCAGATCGTTGCTGGATCAAAGAGGAAATATTTCGAGGTAAATCTGAAGACGGGAGTCTTGTTTGTTAATGAGAGAATAGATCGAGAACAGCTCTGCGGTGAAGAGGCCAAATGTGCCATTAATGTCGAAGTAATTATTAATAATCCACTGAAACTGTATCGCATAGAGATAGCAATATTAGATGTCAATGATAACTCCCCGAATTTTGTTAGCAAGACGGTGGAGCTGAACGTCACTGAGAACACAGCGGTGGGCACGAAATTTCCTCTGCATCCAGCTCACGATGCAGACGTTGGCAAAAACGGCATAAACTCATACAAGCTCAGTCAAAACGAGCATTTCTCTTTGGAAACACAGAAGGGAGAAAGTGAAACACCCGAACTGGTACTTCAGAGAGTCTTAGACAGAGAAAAGAAACAAGTTATACAGCTTAGTCTGACTGCTGTGGATGGAGGAACACCAGCTAGATCTGGAACAATGGATTTGATAATTAATGTTTTAGATATTAATGATAACGCCCCAAAATTTAGTAAAACTCTGTATAAAGCCAGCGTGTATGAAAATGTCACAATAGGCACGTCAATAATTACAGTGACTGCTACAGATTTAGATGCAGGCCTGAATGGGCAGGTGTTTTACTCTCTAAGTGCTGTCGGAAGGGGGAAACTGAATGAGCTTTTTGCAATAGATGACAAATCTGGAACAGTAAGAAATATAAAGAATATTGACTTTGAAGAGAATAATGCTTTTGAGATTAGAGTACAAGCCAGTGATGGGGCAATATTTCCCATGACCTCGCATGCAAAGTTACTGATAGAAGTACTTGATATAAATGACAATTTTCCTGAAATTACAGTAACATCCCTGTTAAACACAGTGAAAGAGGATACCTCCATTGGCACCGCAATTGCTTTTGTTTCAGTATTTGACAAGGACAGCGGTAAGAATGCCATTGTTAATTGCAAAATTTCAAACACTGTTCCTTTTAAATTAGAGCTAAATTATAAGAATTACTATTCTTTGGTTGTAGATGGAGCGCTTGACAGAGAAAGAGCAGCTCACTATAATATCAGCATCAGAGCTACAGACGAAGGCAACCCTTCTCTTTCCAGCATCAGCTTCATTCTTGTAAATGTCTCTGATGTAAATGATAACACTCCGTATTTTACAGAAAATGCTGTACATGTCTTTATAAATGAAAACAGTCAAATAGGAGCCGTTATTAAAACAGTGTCAGCAGTTGATGCAGACTCTGATCAAAATGGTCAAATAAGCTACTCACTTTTAATTGACAATAGTAACCCACTGCCACTCAGATCGATGATCAACATAAATTCAGAAACAGGCGATATAATCAATCTACAGTCTTTTAACTATGAAGAGTTGAAAACGTTTCAGTTTAAAGTTCAGGCTACAGATTCTGGTGTTCCTCCACTTAGCAGCAACGCGACTGTCAATGTTTTAATCCTGGATGAAAATGATAATAATCCAACGATTTTAGCTCCTTATTCTGAACACGGCTCTGTTATCAGTGAAACCATCCCTTATTCTGCTGAAGCGGGATACTTTGTAGCAAAGATCAGGGCTGTGGACGCAGATTCTGGATACAACGCGCTGCTTTCTTATCACCTGTCGGAGCCCAAAGGAACAACCTGTTCAGGATCGGAACCAGCACCGGAGAAATCAGGACTAAGAGGAGAATGATGACAATGACCTGAAAAGTCACCCACTGGTGGTGTTAGTTTCTGATAATGGAGAACCTTCTCTGTCAGCCACTGTTTTCTATTGATGTGATGGTGGTTGAAAGCACAGCTGATGTCCAGACTCAGTTCAGACATGTTCCTATAAAGGAGGACAACTTCTCTGATTTGAACTTGTATCTACTGATCGCCATCGTGTCAGTGTCTGTGATCTTTCTGCTGAGTCTCATCAGTTTAATAGCTGTCAGATGCCACAGAACAGACAGTGATTTCAGCAGGTACAGCGCCCCCATGATCACCACCCATCCTGACGGGAGCTGGTCTTACTCTAAAGCTACTCAGCAGTATGACGTGTGTTTCAGCTCAGACACAATGAAGAGTGACGTAGTGGTTTTCCCCGCCCCGTTTCCACCTGCAGATGCTGAACTGATCAGTATTAATGGGAGTGACACTTTTACCAGAACTCAGACTTTACCAAACACAGAGAAGGTAAGCATATTGTTAAATTATTTGTCACCATCTAATTCAACATGTCGTAATGTGTTGGCTTTTGTATGCATTTATGGTACATAGCTACAATAAATCCCACTACATCACATTTTTACAGAGCAGTAGATGCTTTTTTTTTCAGTCTTATAAAAAAATATGAAATAATGGTTGTGAAGAAGTAAGTTATGTGTGTCTGTGCGTGCGTATGTTCGTAACATCAATTGGCGAATTCCTTTTATCGCTCTCCATGGTTCTGAAACTATATTCGCCAACGGTCTCACGGTCTCTTTGCCACGTCATCTAAAAAAGCATAAAACATATTTATTTTTTCATTATTTTTTGTAATATGCATATAAATATTTTCTAGCATATTTATTCTGAAAGTACACAAACTGTACTTTTTTCAGTTTGTGTTTTCCATCTCAGATATCCAATCAATTAATTTGTCTTAATAATTGTTTTTATTATTATTTTTATTTTTATTATTATTATTATTATTATTATTATTATTATTATTATTATTATTATTATTATTATTATTATTATTTTAAAAACATATTTATTTCGTGGATTTTAAAAATAAATAAATAAATAAATAAATATTGCGTTGATAATTACCGTTTTATGCTATTTGTTCACCAAATTTTATTGTTAGGTTTTTCCAGTGACGGTCCAGCAGAGGACAGTACAGACCGTAGCATTTCTATGAATGATTCAGGACTCCTCCCAGATTTAGTGAGCGATTCCTCTTTGCTCTGTTACAAAGAGACCTCGAGACAAAGGACGGTTCGTCGTCTGTTGCGAACATGGTGCCATTTCCATCCGGAATAATTGCTGTCTGATTCCTATCTTGTGCTTTTTTTTTTATACCATACTGCAAGATGCTATCCTGACTTGACTGTACGCTTTGTCACACGTCGAGAATTATGCATCTATTGGATATCCCGAGCTCGATGTGGATTTATTTCTTGGTCACGCTGCTGAACTGTTATTCGGACGCCGTATCTGGTCAGCTCGCTTACACCGTCGCAGAGGAGTCAAACATTGGGACTGTTTTGGGAAACATAGCCAAAGATCTGAACATTAATGCCCAAGAGTTGGAAACGCGGATGTTTCAGATTGTTGCTGGATCTAAGAAAAAATATGTCGAGGTAAATGTGAAGACTGGGGTTCTCTATGTAAATGAAAGAATCGACCGAGAGCAGCTCTGTGGCGACGAGTCGAAATGTTCACTTGGTGTAGAAGCAGTCATAAATAACCCTTTGAAACTGTACCGTATTGAAGTAGTTGTGTTAGATGTCAATGATAACTCGCCATCGTTTCCCAGCATGTCGCAGACCATTAATATTACTGAAAGCACAGCAGCAGGAGCTAAATTCCTCCTGAAACGGGCTCACGATGCTGATGTTGGAAAGAACTCTGTTAATACATACAAGCTAAGTCAAAATGAGTATTTTTCTCTGAATACACATAAGGGACAGAATATGATAGTCGAACTAGTCCTACAGAAAGTGCTAGATAGGGAAAAGCAGTCTGTAATACGACTAACGCTGACTGCCATTGATGGGGGAACACCAGCCAAATCAGGAAGTATGACTATTACAGTAAATGTGTTGGATGTTAATGATAATCACCCAGTTTTTAGTCAAAAACTTTATAAAGCCAGCGTGTATGAGAACGTTAAAATCGGAACACCGATAATTACTCTGAATGCTACGGACTTGGATGCAGGGCAAAATGGCCAAATATTGTATTCATTGATCGAAATAGACCAAGGAAAACATACGAGCTTATTTACTATAAACGAACAAAATGGCACAATAACGAACAAAAACAACATAGACTTTGAGGAGAACAATGCTTTTGAGATTCAAGTGCAAGCCAGTGACAGTGCAAACTCTCCTCTCACTTCAAACGCAAAATTACTGATTGAAATTCTAGACGTGAACGACAACGCGCCTGAAATTACAGTGACGTCGCTTTTAAATGCAGTGAAAGAGGACGCGTCCACCGGCACCGCGATTGCTCTTATTTCTGTACATGATAAAGACAGCGGGAGGAATGCAGTGGTGAACTGTGAAATTTCCAATGATGTTCCTTTCAAATTAGAAACAAATTATAAGAATTACTATTCCTTAATTGTTGATGGAGCGCTTGACAGAGAAACAGCGGCTCAATATAATATTTGCGTCAGTGTCAGAGATGAGGGGAGTCCATCTCTCTCCAGCACCAGTGTCATTGTTGTGCACGTCTCTGATGTAAATGATAACAAACCCAGTTTCTCAGAAGACGCTATAAATGTCTTCATAAAAGAAAACAGTCAAATAGGAGCAGTTATTAAAACAGTGTCAGCAGTTGATGCAGACTCTGATCAAAACGGCCAAATAAGCTACTCACTTTTAATTGACAATAGTAACCCACTGCCACTCAGATCGATGATCAACATAAATTCAGAAACAGGCGATATAATCAATCTACAGTCTTTTAACTATGAGGAGTTGAAAACGTTTCAGTTTAAAGTTCAGGCTACAGACTCTGGTGTTCCTCCGCTCAGCAGCAAGATGACAGTTAATATTTTAATCCTGGATGAAAATGATAATAATCCAACTATTTTAGCTCCTTATTCCGAGCACGGCTCTGTTAACAGTGAAACCATTCCTTATTCTGCTGAAGCGGGATACTTTGTAGCAAAGATCAGGGCTGTGGACGCAGATTCTGGATACAACGCGCTGCTTTCTTATCACTTGTCGGAGCCCAAAGGAAACAACCTGTTCAGGATCGGAACCAGCACCGGAGAAATCAGGACTAAGAGGAGAATGAGCGACAATGACCTGAAAAGTCACCCACTGGTGGTGTTAGTTTCTGATAATGGAGAACCTTCTCTGTCAGCCACTGTTTCTATTGATGTGATGGTGGTTGAAAGCACAGCTGATGTCCACACGCAGTTCAGACATGTTCCTATAAAGGAGGCCAACTTCTCTGATTTGAACTTGTATCTACTGAGCGCCATCGTGTCAGTGGCTGTGATCTTTCTGCTGAGTCTCATCAGTTTAATAGCTGTCAGATGCCACAGGACAGACAGTGATTTCAGCAGGTACAGCGCCCCCATGATCACCACCCATCCTGACGGGAGCTGGTCTTACTCTAAAGCTACTCAGCAGTATGACGTGTGTTTCAGCTCAGACACACTGAAGAGTGACGTAGTGGTTTTCCCTGCACGTTTCCCCTGTAGATGCTGAACTGATCAGTATTAATGGAAGTGATACTTTTACCAGAACTCAGACTTTACCAAGCAAAGAGAAGGTAAGATTTCTTTTAGATTTCAAGTTTTGTTGTTGTTACAAGACAGCTGGGTAATAGTTACATCGATGAGAATCATGCAAGTCTTAAAAAACAAAAACAAAAACATCCTGCTTGTGCGTTGTTACTGCTTGCACTACTGTGTTCCACTTTCCAATACGCTAATTTTTTTTTCAATTATATGTTTTTTTGTGCTCATACATTGACTAGATTTTTTGTGTCAAATCCATGCATGATGAAATTAGCATTGTTCCATAGTGTATACCGTATAATATTATAATGTAGGCCTACACACAATTGTTCTTAAATAATTTAAAGAAACAAATTTTCAAGAGCATAAGCTATACAAATTTGTTTACAGACAGTGATTTCAGCAGGTACAGCGCCCCCATGATCACCACCCATCCTGACGGGAGCTGGTCTTACTCTAAAGCTACTCAGCAGTATGACGTGTGTTTCAGCTCAGACACACTGAAGAGTGACGTAGTGGTTTTCCCCGCACCGTTTCCACCTGTAGATGCTGAACTAATCAGTATTAATGGGAGCGATACTTTTACCAGAACTCAGACGTTACCTAATAAAGAAAAGGTAAGAATATAACACCTCCTTCCCCACCCTGCTGACGGTTTTATTTCATGCTTATTGTTTGTATTTTATTCGGAAATTTTCTTATTACAGCTTCAGTGTTTGTACTAAAATCCCTTCAGGGTTGCGTTGTTTGTTATTAACTAACACAAGAAAATTTTCAGGCTTGATTTTATTTAGGAAGAAAAACATTGCGGAGCAGCTTATTTATTGAATTTGTTTTTATCGGTCAGGCTGATGAAAAGTCAAATATGAAGTGTTAATAAACACTTCAAAGCGTGGTTTTCTATTATACTGTGGTTCAATTTCTGACGCATAATTTATACTACATGTATGATATGCAGCATATTGGAATATGTTTATTACTTTGCCAATGAATGTCATTTTGCTCCTTTTTAATTGCTGTGTTCACAATAGTGAGTTGTTTTTTGCATATTCTTACACTGTAAAGAAAAGAAATCACATCATCAACAAGGAAAACTTTTATTTCGATTCATACACTTATATGAGTAAATGCGTTTTTAATCACGCATTTCAACTCGGTTTTGTTGGTTTGATGCAGTTCCTCTAATCGTCCATGAGGCGACAGTCAAGACCGTAACACCGACGGCGGTCGTTGATTTGTAACGGCACCTCCCATGTTGATAGCATCCATTTTTATCGGTACATCCTGAGGCTTAGACGCAGTGAAACAGCAACGTTTTGTATTCGCGTCTGCAAAAATATTTTCTCTCCAAGGGAGTCAAGGATTTTGCTGTCTCATTAACGGATCTATGTTTTGTTTTCGCTGGGCGGAACTATGGATCCTCTGAGAGGAGCGATCTCCTTTGGAATATATCTGTTGTTTGTTTCCGTGGAGCGTTACGGTGGAGCCGTGTCCGGGCAGCTTTCTTACTCTGTTGAGGAAGAGGTAAACCCCGGGACTTCGGTTGGCAATTTGGCAAAGGATCTCAACATTAATGTGCAGGATTTGGAGTCCCGTATGTTCCAGACAGTTGCCGGATCAAAGACAAAGTATTTTGACGTCAATTTAAAGTCGGGGTTTCTTCACGTCAGTGAGAGAATAGACAGAGAACTTCTTTGTGCGAAGGCGACAACATGCACCTTAAATGTAGAAGCTGTCATTAACAATCCACTCCGACTGTATCAGATCGAAATCATTGTTCTAGATGTAAATGATAACGCGCCTGTTTTTAGCACAAAATCCCAAACTATTAACATAGCAGAAAACATTTTGCCAGGAACAACATTTCCTCTTTTGTCCGCATATGATGCTGATGTGGGGAAAAACGGCATAAGCACCTATAAGCTAAAGCCCAGCGAGTATTTTTCTTTAAAAGTACACAAAGGTGAGAGCGTGTCAGCTGAGTTAGTCCTTCAGAAAGCCTTAGATCGTGAAAAGCAGGAATTAATTAAACTTACGCTGACAGCAATAGACGGGGGAACACCAGTGAAATCAGGTACATCAGAAATTATTATTCGTGTTCTTGATATAAACGATAATATTCCCACTTTTATCAAAACGTTGTATAAAACAAGCATTACAGAAAATGCACCCCTCGGAACGACCTTAATCGAGGTGGCTGCGACTGATGCCGACCAGGGATTGAACAAAGAAATTGTATATTCATTGAATTCAAACGATCAGGACCACGTTTTAGAAATATTTGAAATTGATGGCGAAACGGGGGTATTGACAGTTAAAGAGAATATAGACTTTGAATTAAATCCGTCTTTTGAGATTCGTGTGCAGGCTGCAGACAAAGGCAATCCTCCGCTAACAGCTCAGTGTAAAGTCCTGGTGGAGGTAGTGGATGTAAACGACAATGCACCTGACATCACTGTGACGTCACTTCTGCGCAGTGTTAAGGAGGACGCTGAAATTGGCACTGCAGTTGCACTTGTTTCAATTCTCGACAGAGACGGTGGCAAAAATGGTGAAGTAAAATGTGAGATTTCAAACACCGTTCCCTTTAAATTAGAGACGAATTACAAAAATTATTACACTCTGGTTTTAAGTCACGCTCTAGATAGAGAATTGGTTTCTCAGTATAACATTACAATTAAAGCTACAGATGAGGGGAACCCTCCACTGTCTAATACAAGTTTTGTTACCATTCAAGTTTCCGATGTAAATGACAACAAGCCTCGGTTTTCTGATAATGTTATTCACATGTATGTGCAGGAAAATAGTCCAGTTGGGACGGCTTTAAGAGCAGTGTATGCAACTGATGCTGATGCTAGTGAAAACAGCATGGTGAGATATTCCATAATCAGTAACAGTAACTTGGTACCGTTGTCAACAATGGTTGACATCAACTCAGAAACAGGAAACATAGTAAGTCTGCAGAGTTTTAATTATGAGGAGATGAAAACATTTCAGTTTAAAGTTCAGGCTACAGACTCTGGTGTTCCTCCACTCAGCAGCAACGTTACTGTTAATGTTTTTATCCTGGATGAAAATGATAATAATCCAACTATTTTAGCTCCTTATTCCGAGCACGGCTCTGTTAACAGTGAAACCATCCCTTATTCTGCTGAAGCGGGATACTTTGTAGCAAAGATCAGGGCTGTGGACGCAGATTCTGGATACAACGCGCTGCTTTCTTATCACTTGTCGGAGCCCAAAGGAAACAACCTGTTCAGGATCGGAACCAGCACCGGAGAAATCAGGACTAAGAGGAGAATGAGTGACAATGACCTGAAAAGTCACCCATTGGTGGTGTTAGTTTCTGATAATGGAGAACCTTCTTTGTCAGCCACTGTTTCTATTGATGTGATGGTGGTTGAAAGCACAGCTGATGTCCAGACTCAGTTCAGACATGTTCCTATAAAGGAGGACAACTTCTCTGATTTGAACTTGTATCTACTGATCGCCATCGTGTCAGTGTCTGTGATCTTTCTGCTGAGTCTCATCAGTTTAATAGCTGTCAGTGCCACAGGACAGACAGTGATTTCAGCAGGTACAGCGCCCCCATGATCACCACCCATCCTGACGGGCTGGTCTTACTCTAAAGCTACTCAGCAGTATGACGTATGTTTCAGCTCAGACACACTGAAGAGTGACGTAGTGGTTTTCCCCGCACCGTTTCCACCTGTAGATGCTGAACTGATCAGTATTAATGGAAGTGATACTTTTACCAGAACTCAGACTTTACCAAGCAAAGAGAAGGTAAGATTTCTTTTAGATTTCAAGTTTTGTTGTTGTTACAAGACAGCTGGGTAATAGTTACATCGATGAGAATCATGCAAGTCTTAAAAAACAAAAACAAAAACATCCTGCTTGTGCGTTGTTACTGCTTGCACTACTGTGTTCCACTTTCCAATACGCTAATTTTTTTTTCAATTATATGTTTTTTTGTGCTCATACATTGACTAGATTTTTTGTGTCAAATCCATGCATGATGAAATTAGCATTGTTCCATAGTGTATACCGTATAATATTATAATGTAGGCCTACACACAATTGTTCTTAAATAATTTAAAGAAACAAATTTTCAAGAGCATAAGCTATACAAATTTGTTTACGCTGACATGTTGTCTCGTTGCGACAATTTTCTTGAAACTAAATTTCACATATTGTTGTTTTTTGCATGAAAACCAAAAATAATAAATAAATATTTAAAGTAGAAGCACTTTTAATAACTCTTTATAAAGATTCGTACACCCATTCCGCCTCCTCTTCCTTTCTTTCTGTGTATATAGTAAAATAATAATAGTTATAATGAACACCTCTCAAAAACCTTTCCTGCATCGGAATGTAACTTGTGACCTTCTTTATAATCGTTATTTCTTTTTATTCAAGTTATTATTATTATTATTATTATTATTATTATTATTATTATTATTATTATTATTATTATTATTATTATTATTATTATTATTTCTGATGAGTGTGGTTTTGCGAGTTCGCCACAAGGTGACGCTATAGACCGTAACACTGAAGTGGTGACGCTCCTCCTCGAGTAAAACGAGGCTGGCTGCGATTTTCAGCACAAAGAGATTTGGGAACAGACGGGACGACATTATGGAATACGTCTCAACAAAGCCAAGGATTTCGCCTTGAATTCTGACTTTCTCTGAGGCAAATGAAATTCAAGCGAGCTATACCTTGACCTCATTAAACGGAATTATGTTATCAACAATTTTCTGGAGACCTGCTTTTACACATTTTCTGCTGGGACTGCTGGGTTGTTACCAGGAAGCGGCGACGACGCAGCTGTTTTATTCTGTTTCAGAGGAGGTAAAACCGGGCACTAACATAGCAAACATTGCGAAGGACCTCAACTTGAACGTGCAGGATTTGGACTCCCGCTTGTTTCAAATTGTTGCATCTAAAAATAAATACTTTGACGTCAATTTAAAGACCGGATTTTTGATCACTAGTGAGAGGCTCGATCGAGAAGAGCTGTGTGCAGACGAGTCCAAATGCATTGTCAGCCTGGAGGCTGTAATAAACAACCCGTTGAAGTTGTATCGCGTGGAGATAGAAATTAAAGATGTCAACGATCATTCTCCTGCTTTTAACGCGAGATCGCAACTGCTGGATGTTGCAGAAAATACCTCGCCTGGGTTTAAACTGGCCTTGTCGGAGGCAAGCGACGCCGATGTAGGTACAAATGGCGTTAGTGGCTACAAGCTCAGTCCAAATGAATATTTCAGCCTTGTCACACACAAAAGAGGAGCGAGCATATCTCCAGAACTCGTGCTGCAAAAAAACCTAGATAGAGAGAAAAAATCGAATATAAAACTTATGTTGACTGCATTCGACGGAGGCTCTCCGGCAAATTCAGGCACATCAGAGATTGAAATAAATGTCTTGGACATAAACGATAACGCACCTATTTTTAGCAGTAGTCTTTACAAGATTAACGTGCTAGAAAATGTCCCATTTGGTACTGAAATTCTGACTTTAAATGCCACAGACGCAGATGAAGGATCAAACAGTGAGATAGTGTTCTCTCTTCGCAGTAAAGATCAAGATTATGTTCTTGATATTTTCAAAATAGACTCTGAAACGGGAGTCATTTCAGTGAAAGGTGAAATCGACTATGAAGAAAAAAAAGCTTTTGAGATCCGTGCCGAAGCAAGAGATAAAGCCCAGCCTCCTTTGTCTGCTCACAGTAAAGTGCTGGTTGAAGTCATAGATGTTAATGATAATGCCCCTGAAATCACCGTTACGTCACTTGCGAGTAGTGTCAGGGAGGACGCTGCCGTCGGTACCGCTATTGCTCTTGTTTCGATACTGGACAGAGACAGTGGTAGAAATGGCGAAGTTGCCTGTAAGATTGTGAACACAGTTCCTTTCAAACTCGAGAAGAACTATAAAAACTATTACTCGCTGGTTGTTGATGAGCATTTAGACAGAGAGGTGACCTCTCAGTACAATGTGATAATATTAGCTTCAGATGAGGGGCAACCGCCTCTCTCAAACACCAGCGTTGTTACTGTTTTTGTCTCTGATGTAAATGACAATGCACCAGATTTTCGGGAACCTGTTATAAACATATATTTGAGAGAAAACAGTAAAGTTGGAACAATAATTAAAACAGTGACAGCAGTTGATGTTGACATAAATAAAAACGGTCAGGTGAGCTATTCGGTTCTGGAAACGAACAGTAAAGGGCAGCATTCCACCCCGATAATTAGTATTAATTCTGAATCTGGAGATATAATAAGCCTGCAGTCTTTCAATTATGAGGAAGTAAAAACTTTTCAGTTTAAGGTTAAGGCAACAGACTCTGGTGTTCCTCCACTCAGCAGCAACGTTACTGTTAATGTTTTAGTCCTGGATGAAAATGATAATAATCCAACTATTTTAGCTCCTTATTCTGAGCACGGCTCTGTTAACAGTGAGACCATCCCTTATTCTGCTGAAGCGGGATACTTTGTAGCAAAGATCAGGGCTGTGGACGCAGATTCTGGATACAACGCGCTGCTTTCTTATCACCTGTCGGAGCCCAAAGGAAACAACCTGTTCAGGATCGGAACCAGCACCGGAGAAATCAGGACTAAGAGGAGAATGAGCGACAATGACCTAAAAAGTCACCCACTGGTGGTGTTAGTTTCTGATAATGGAGAACCTTCTCTGTCAGCCACTGTTTCTATTGATGTGATGGTGGTTGAAAGCACAGCTGATGTCCAGACTCAGTTCAGACATGTTCCTATAAAGGAGGACAACTTCTCTGATTTGAACTTGTATCTACTGATCGCCATCGTGTCAGTGTCTGTGATCTTTCTGCTGAGTCTCATCAGTTTAATAGCTGTCAGATGCCACAGGACAGACAGTGATTTCAGCAGGTACAGCGCCCCATGATCACCACCCATCCTGACGGGAGCTGGTCTTACTCTAAAGCTACTCAGCAGTATGACGTGTGTTTCAGCTCAGACACACTGAAGAGTGACGTAGTGGTTTTTCCCGCACCGTTTCCACCTGTCGATGCGGAACTGATCAGTATCAACGGAACAGACACTTTTACCAGAACTCAGACTTTACCAAACACAGACAAGGTAAGAAGTGTCCATGAGTTGAGTCAATTTTCGTTTTGCTGAAAAGCAATGTGTTAAAAAAAAAACAAAACAAAAAAAAAACTATAAGATCAAACTCTATAGAAGAGTTTGGAGCAATGGTTCAAATATTTCTTTTGATAATGCAATATTTTAGATTCACTCAACATAGCATTCACATGTCAAAGATAATCCCCGTTTCACCAAAATGAAGAAGTTTTAAAGTCATCCAAGCCTAGAAATGTACCAGTTCTGCTGCTTTCTGTATATTTTTTTCATGTTTAAATTAGATGTTGGTGAAGTTTCAGGATGCCTTAATTTAGCCAGAGTATAAGTAACTCTATAACAAAAAAAATAAATAAACATGTAAACAACATTTTTTTTCTTTCATTTAATTCTGTTATAAATCAAAACAAATAAGTGGCAGAAAGACGCTTGAATTCTGTCCATGCGCTGTCCATGGTTCTGATAAATGTTTGTCTGTTCGCTGTCGTCTGTGTTAAGAGTCAGGAGCTGTTCTTGGTGCTGATGCTCAGTAGTTCAACTTAATACTGTGCGTGCTATTGAACAGACTTTTTTTTTTTTTTTTACCAGGGAGTTGTTTGGTTTTTGGCTTTTAAAATACATAACACACTAATGCAGCATCTTCATAAAATAATATATCTTCCAACAGAACATACTTTGGTGCGAAGTTGACCCATAGGATTATATATATATATATATATATATATATATATATATATATATATATATATATATATATATATATATATATATATATATATATATATGGTTTTTTTTCTGAAATATATTAGTTTGTTGCACAATGAAGTGATCACAAGATGTCGCAAGAGACCGCGCAAAAGAAGCTGTTTAATATGCTGGAAACTCCTCCCTTTTTAAAGACAAAGCTAAAACGTCATCATCAGAGGCTGCTTTGTGGAAACACGTCGCAGATGAACGAGGCCCGTAACGAGTGAGGATCTTTTGCAAGAATGGATATTTGAAAGAAAAACATGCTTTTGAAGCATTAAAGCAGGACGTACAGGGCTTCCTCTGAAGAGCGATGGCGGCTCGGACACGATGGGATAATATGCGGAGCCTGATTTTCACCCTTTTCTGTCTCTGTGATCGGTCCTCGGCTCAGATATCTTACACCATCCCCGAAGAGGCGGACAAAGGCAGAGCGGTTGGAAACGTTGCGAAGGACTTAAGCCTCAGTGCGGAGCAACTCCAGAACACGAACCTCCAAATGGCATCTGGGTATAGAAAGCGGTATTTTGACATAAATCGTGAATCTGGAGTGATTTTCGTCTGCGAAAGGATAGACCGGGAGGAGCTTTGTCCAAATCAGGCGAAATGTTTTTTAAACATCGAGGCCGTATTGAGCAACCCTCGCAGCCTCCATCGAATTGAAGTGTTTATAAATGACGTTAATGACAACGCTCCCTTTTTTCTCGAGGAAGCGATCACAGTAGATATATCTGAAGCTTCGTATGTTGGGGAGAGACATCCGCTCCCGGTGGCTCACGATGCGGATGTGGGAACCAATTCGGTGAAGACGTACACGTTAAACACAAATGAGTATTTCTCGTTGGATATACAAAGCGCTGGCGACCAGAGTGTCTCTGCTGAATTAATATTGCAAAAAGCATTAGATCGAGAAAAGGAGCCTGTGATCGAGCTGATTCTGACTGCAGTTGATGGTGGGAAACCCCCTAAATCAGGATCCTTACAGATTAAAGTGAATGTTTTGGACGTAAACGACAATTCGCCCGTTTTTAGTAAGCCTCTTTACAAAATACACGTGACTGAAAATGCAAATGTGGGCACAACTTTATTAACACTGAGTGCCTCTGACTTAGATGAAGGTGTCAATGGTCAGGTCGTTTATTCTTTTACAGAGGGGGCGCGTTTAAATCCTGAAGAAATATTTTCTCTTAATAACAACAGCGGAGAGATTATAGTTAAAGGCAACATTGATTATGAGGAACACCAAGCATTTGAAATTCGTGTTCAAGCACGAGACAAAGGAAGTACACCCCGTAGTGCGCATAGCAAAGTTTTAGTCGAAGTGATTGATGTCAATGACAATGCTCCGGAAATACGGGTGTCATCCCTGATGAGTCCAATAAAGGAGGACGCACAAATAGCCACGGCGGTTGCGATGGTTACGGTCACCGACAGAGACGGAGGCAAAAACGGTCAAATAAAATGTAAGATAACAGGTTCTGTTCCTTTTAAATTGAAATCTAATTATAAAAATTACTATTCTTTGTTGGTCGATGGACCTCTCGACAGAGAAAATATTTCTAAGTACAACATATCAATTGAAGCAACAGATGAGGGATCACCTCAGCTTTCGACAACAGCTGTGATTGCGCTTGAGGTTTCTGACGTAAACGACAGCCCTCCTCGATTCCCTGATTCTCTAATTAACGTGTTTGTAAAAGAGAACATCCAAACCGGAACAATACTTCATAGGCTAACTACGTTTGATTCAGATTCAGATGAAAATGCCAAGTCAACGTACAGTTTAATTAATTCTCCCCAAAACACGCAGATTAGTTCAATGATAACCGTTAACTCAAAAACAGGAGATATTATAAATCTACAGTCGTTTAACTACGAGGAGTTAAAGACATTTCAGTTTAAAGTTCAGGCTACAGACTCTGGTGTTCCTCCACTCAGCAGCAACGTTACTGTTAATGTTTTTATCCTGGATGAAAATGATAATAATCCAACTATTCTAGCTCCTTATTCTGAGCACGGCTCTGTTAACAGTGAGACCATCCCTTATTCTGCTGAAGCGGGATACTTTGTAGCAAAGATCAGGGCTGTGGACGCAGATTCTGGATACAACGCGCTGCTTTCTTATCACCTGTCGGAGCCCAAAGGAAACAACCTGTTCAGGATCGGAACCAGCACCGGAGAAATCAGGACTAAGAGGAGAATGAGCGACAATGACCTGAAAAGTCACCCACTGATGGTGTTAGTTTCTGATAATGGAGAACCTTCTCTGTCAGCCACTGTTTCTATTGATGTGATGGTGGTTGAAAGCACAGCTGATGTCCAGACTCAGTTCAGACATGTTCCTATAAAGGAGGACAACTTCTCTGATTTGAACTTGTATCTACTGATCGCCATCGTATCAGTGTCTGTGATCTTTCTGCTGAGTCTCATCAGTTTAATAGCTGTCAGATGCCACAGGACAGACAGTGATTTCAGCAGGTACAGCGCCCCCATGATCACCACCCATCCTGACGGGAGCTGGTCTTACTCTAAAGCTACTCAGCAGTATGACGTGTGTTTCAGCTCAGACACACTGAAGAGTGACGTAGTGGTTTTCCCCGCCCCGTTTCCACCTGTAGATGCTGAACTGATTAGTATAAACGGGAGTGATACTTTTACCCGAACTCAGACTTTACCGAACAAAGAGAAGGTGAGTTATCTTTAAAACTATGTTTCTTAGAAAAGATAAAAATCGACTTCCTTGCCGCAACTTCCGTTGGATGTCATGTTCGTGTGTTTAAACCCATGACAGGTATACTGATTTAGAAATTGTATTAATTTGAACAACATCGATGCCAAATTTTCATCATCAGTCAATTTGCAACAAATTCACTTTTAAATAGAAGTTTAATATGTCACAGTAGTAATTTTACTATTTTTAGTGGTTCGTTTGTGATGAGATATTAAAATGACGCTAGCCATGGTGCTGTAATACAATGTCGATAAGACCACTGGTTATATCATATATAAAAATAACTGGAATGAGCCGTCTTAATTATTATTATTATTATTATATTATTATTATTATTATTATTATTATTATTATTATTATTATTATTATTATTATTATTATTATTATTATTATTATTATTATTTTTATTCAAGTAGCCGTACTATTTCCCTTACGCAAATGCGTCTTTTTGTGCTTTTCTTTTAAAGTCGTCACTATATTTAAGACTTTTCACACTGTGTGGTTAAAGTTATAATTCCCAACTTATGTCTTTATTACTTGGCTGACCGCAAGCTGTATTTTTTTGGATGTTTCTTCAGTCAAGAAAAAAGAACAATACCTCTGATTGAATGAAGTTTTTCTTTTCTCTTTTTTTTTCATTATTTTTAATCTTTGAAAGTCTGTGTAGCGGACACAAGATGTCACCCGAGACCATACATTCCCTGATGCTCGCTTAGTGATTTGAAACGCCTCCCTTTACTCGCTGAAGTATGAACCACTCTGTGCTTGGTGTTGGTTTGGACGTCGTCGTGGGGCAAGATGGTCTCGAGACTCGAAGGTGTTGGACGCATTTTTTTCTTTTTTGCCGTTTTATAGATAAATGAGCTTAGTTTGGATTGACCATTTTGCTCAATAATGAATCGGAATCTGAGAAGAGATTCCGAATGGATGCTGCTCGCCATTACTCTTTGTTCGTTTGGTTGGTCCTCCGCTCAGATTTCCTACTCGGTCTCCGAGGAGGTGGACAAAGGGACAGTGGTCGGGAATATTGCTAAGGATTTACACGTCAGCGCACAGCAACTGGAGGAACGAGGATTTCGAATTGTGTCTGGACATAGTAAGACGTATTTTAAAGCTAATTTAAAAACAGGAGCGTTACTTGTAAGCGACAGAATTGACCGTGAAGAGCTTTGTCCTAACGCACCCAAGTGCCCCTTAAACATACAGGGAATACTTAGCAACCCCATGAACATTTATCGCATTGAAGTAAACATCCTGGATATTAATGACAACGCACCGGCATTCTCAGAGAAAATTCATGTGTTCAATATCTCTGAATCGTCCTCCACGGGGGAAAGATATCCTCTCCCAGCAGCTCACGACGCAGACGCTGACATTAATTCAGTCAAAACCTTTAAAATGAGTCCAAATGAGTATTTTTCGATAGATGTCAGCAGCAGTCGCGGCAGCGTGTCTGCTGAGTTGGTTCTGCAAAAAGCTTTAGACAGAGAGAAGCAATCCACAATTAAACTCACCCTGACAGCTGTGGACGGAGGGAAACCGCTCAAGTCTGGCAGCATGCAAATTCTCGTAAACGTGATAGATGCTAATGACAATTCACCTTTGTTTAGCAAGCCCCTTTATAAAGCGAGTGTCAGTGAAAACATACCGGTGGGTACAACAGTATTAAAATTAAACGCTACTGATTTAGACGAGGGTCCGAATGCAGAAATCACATATTTTTTAATGGGAGGGGGGACCGTAGACTCTTCTGGAAAATTCAGCGTTATTCCGGAGAGCGGTGAAATTATTGTGACAGCTGATTTGGATTACGAGGAAAGTAATGCATATGAATTAAGAGTGCGCGCAACAGATCAAGGCGCATCCCCAAGGAGTGGTTACGCTAAAGTGTTGCTCGAGGTTGTTGATATTAATGACAATGCGCCAGAAATCTCGATAACGTCCATGATGAGCTCTGTGCAGGAAGATGCGTCAACTGGAACGGTCGTTGCTTTGGTAACAGTGAGCGATAAAGACGGAGGACTGAATGGCCTCACCAATTGTAAGATCCAAGACTCCATCCCGTTTAAATTAACATCAAACTACAAAAACTATTATTCATTAATAACTGACGGTCCTCTTGACAGAGAGACTGTATCCGTTCATAATTTGACTATTACTGCTGTAGATGAAGGAAGCCCAGCGCTGACTAGTACTGCTTTAGTCAACGTGTATATTTCTGACGTTAATGACAATGCACCTAGGTTTCCAGAAGGTGATATCAATGTGCATCTGAAGGAGAACAGTAAAGTTGGACAAATAATCACAAAAGTAACAGCACAGGATGCGGACGCAAGCGAAAATGGTAAAATTACGTATTCTTTAATTGATAAAAATCCTGGCAAAACACAACATTTAACTAGTTTACATATAAACAGAGAAACAGGTGAAATTAGTGCGCTGCAATCTTTCAACTACGAGGAGTTGAAAACATTTCAGTTTAAAGTTCAGGCTACAGACTCTGGTGTTCCTCCGCTAAGCAGCAACGTTACTGTTAATGTTTTAATCCTGGATGAAAATGATAATAATCCAACGATTCTAGCTCCTTATTCTGAGCACGGCTCTGTTAACAGTGAAACCATCCCTTATTCTGCTGAAGCGGGATACTTTGTAGCAAAGATCAGGGCTGTGGACGCAGATTCTGGATACAACGCGCTGCTCTTATCACCTGTTGGAGCCCAAAAAAACAACCTGTTCAGGATCGGAACCAGCACCGGAGAAATCAGGACTAAGAGGAGAATGAGCGACAATGACCTGAAAAGTCACCCACTGGTGGTGTTAGTTTCTGATAATGGAGAACTTTCTCTGTCAGCCACTGTTTCTATTGATGTGATGGTGGTTGAAAGCACAGCTGATGTCCAGACTCAGTTCAGACATGTTCCTATAAAGGAGGACAACTTCTCTGATTTGAACTTGTATCTACTGATCGCCATCGTGTCAGTGTCTGTGATCTTTCTGCTGAGTCTCATCAGTTTAATAGCTGTCAGATGCCACAGGACAGACAGTGATTTCAGCAGGTACAGCGCCCCCATGATCACCACCCATCCTGACGGGAGCTGGTCTTACTCTAAAGCTACTCAGCAGTATGACGTGTGTTTCAGCTCAGACACACTGAAGAGTGACGTAGTGGTTTTCCCCGCACCGTTTCCACCTGTGGATGCGGAACTGATCAGTATTAACGGGAGTGATACTTTTACCAGAACTCAGACTTTACCAAACACAGAGAAGGTAGGTTTATACTTCTTAACATTTTGTGTTCCTTTTTGATCATCAAACTTGCAGTATTGTCTCTTATATGTATTCAAGCAAAAACAGTGAACTTTCTACTCTAAAATACATGTGTTTAAAATGAGAATTCAGTTTAAATTTTAGTCTTAGGCTGTACATGGTACAGAATAAAATGAGCTGGTCAGATGTGAAACAAAATAAGTTAATATATAGTCCCAAAACAGCAATAATTTGGATGATTTAGCTTATTGCTGGACCACCAACATTTTATTATGCTAAATTGTCGTGAGCATTGTTTCTTTTTTCTTTTTCCTTTTTGTTGTCGTTATTTTTATCCTTTTTTAGTCTGAGTGCACTAATGGTGTAAACAACTGGTTGTGAGATTTTCTGTACTTCCAGAATTCAGTGAGTGGATGCATGCAGCTGGTGCTTAGGGTTCCTTTCTGTCGTTGATGTGCGTTACTGATTTATCACAAGTAATTAGTTTCATATTTTTGTGACAGTGGTGTGTAGACTACACTTTGCTGCCTTTTCATCAATTTGTTTCCGGTTTTTCATGCGTTTCCGGTTTTTCTTCTTTTTTTTACGGATGCATTAATATGTTTTTATTAGTAACTATTTTGACTTTTTATGCGATCATCTTAAATCAGGGCGACTCCAGAGAATAGCACAATATTCATGAATGTATGAAGCCCTCCATGGTGCTGAAAATAGTCATGTATTTGAAATCAAATATAGAAACTATAAAACCTGATCACTTTAGATTGATATGGCAGACTGGTCCATTATATTTGTTAAAGCATGCTTTGACTATGTAATGCAATTGAGTTTTATATAGATTTATCTATATAAAAACTAATCTATATATGGGTTCAATGGAATGTGATTAGAATACTTCACACAATCACAAGATTTATTTATTTTTTCCGTTGAATTTTTAAGTACTCAAAGCGTTCAGAAGCGAGTTCATTAAAATGCATAATGAGTTACTTTAAACTCCCACTAGATGTCGCTGGAGACCGTCGGTACTGTTTTGTACAGCTTGTCTAAAACTCCACCCTGCACAGCGGAGCGAAAACATCAATTGGTTACTCGTTTACAGAAACCGTCTGTGCCGCGGTGAAAAGAGTTGCTGTTGATGGTGTTTGTACTCGCGAGGGAGATATATAACACACACTGGATCAACTGGGATACAAGAAATTCTGCGTTTATTGTTCAGGATGGGGAAAGAGGAATCCTGCTGGATACGTTGGATTGTGCTGCTTTGTCTTTGTGAATGCACTGCTTCGCATTTGTCTTATACCATTTCCGAGGAGGTGAACAAAGGGACCTTGCTGGCCAACATCGCAAAGGATCTGAACATAGATGTGCACGAACTGGAGGAGCGAGGTTTGAGCATTCTTTCGAGTGACAGTAAGAAATATTTTGATGTAAATTTAGGGACAGGAGATATATTTGTTAACGACAGGATCGACAGAGAGGAGCTATGTTCAAACGCTGAACGATGCTCTCTGCGAATACAAGCAGTGTTGTTGAACCCGATGGTCGTGCATCGCATTGAAGTGAATGTTTTAGACATTAATGACAACTCGCCCGACTTTAACGAGCATTTATATTTTCTAAACATCTCTGAATCCGTGTCACCGGGAGAGCGCTTCCTTCTGCCACTCGCGGAAGATGCAGACATAGGAAACTACGCAGTGAAGAGCTACAAGCTGGATAAGAACGAACATTTTTCACTCGATGTTCAAAGCGCCGGTGAAGACGGTTTATCTGCTGAGCTTGTGCTCGTGAAAGCTTTAGATCGAGAGACACAGCCAGTGCTCAAACTCATCCTGACCGCTGTGGACGGAGGAACACCAGGGAGATCTGGTACATTACAGATACATGTAAATGTAATAGATGCTAATGATAACACGCCGATATTCAGCAAATCTCTTTATAAAGTACGTGTAAATGAAGACACAGCACCGGGAAATGTATTGATCCAATTAAATGCCACTGATTTAGACGAAGGCATGAATGGGAGGATCGTGTATTATTTTCTAAGGCGAGGTAATTCCGATCTAACAAAAGTATTTGATATAAATTCTGAAACTGGAACGGTTATTTTGAAGAGTAGTGTTGATTTTGAGAAAACGCCTGGTTATGAGTTGAGAGTGCAAGCAAGGGATCAAGGAGCCTCCTCTCGTAGTGCGCATGCTAAATTACTAATAGAGGTGATTGATGTTAATGACAATGCTCCAGAAATAATAGTGACATCATTAGTGACACCAATAAGAGAAGACGCAAAATTAGGAGCGATTGTTGCTTTAATAACAGTGGTTGATAAAGATGGAGGGAACAATGGTTTAACTAAATGCGCCGTGGTTGGATCTGTTCCTTTTAAGTTAAAGTCCAATTACAAAAATGACTATTCATTAGTAGTTGACGGAAAGCTGGACAGAGAAAACATTTCTGCTCATACTATCAGCATAATAGCTGCAGATGAGGGAAGTCCACCTTTGTCCAGTATGAAAATCATTACAGTCAGCGTCGCTGACGTCAATGACAACCCTCCCCGATTTTTGGAGCCAGTGCTTCACATTTATGTGAAAGAAAACAACCCGATAGGTTCAACACTTTACACGGTGAAAGCAGTTGATTCTGATCTACATGACAATGCAAAAATTACCTACAAATTGTTACCCATGTCATTTAAAAACATACAAATATCTTCTATTTTAAACATTAACTCAGACACAGGCGATATAATCGGTTTAAAGTCTTTCAATCATGAGGAGTTAAAAACAATTCAGTTTAAAGTTCAGGCTACAGACTCTGGTGTTCCTCCGCTCAGCAGCAACGTTACTGTCAACGTTTTAATCCTGGATGAAAATGATAATAATCCAACTATTTTAGCTCCTTATTCTGAACACGGCTCTGTTAACAGTGAGACCATCCCTTATTCTGCTGAAGCGGGATACTTTGTAGCAAAGATCAGGGCTGTGGACGCAGATTCTGGATACAACGCGCTGCTTTCTTATCACCTGTCGGAGCCCAAAGGAAACAACCTGTTCAGGATCGGAACCAGCACCGGAGAAATCAGGACTAAGAGGAGAATGAGTGACAATGACCTGAAAAGTCACCCACTGGTGGTGTTAGTTTCTGATAATGGAGAACCTTCTCTGTCAGCCACTGTTTCTATTGATGTGATGGTGGTTGAAAGCACAGCTGATGTCCAGACTCAGTTCAGACATGTTCCTATAAAGGAGGACAACTTCTCTGATTTGAACTTGTATCTACTGATCGCCATCGTGTCAGTGTCTGTGATCTTTCTGCTGAGTCTCATCAGTTTAATAGCTGTCAGATGCCACAGGACAGACAGTGATTTCAGCAGGTACAGCGCCCCCATGATCACCACCCATCCTGACGGGAGCTGGTCTTACTCTAAAGCTACTCAGCAGTATGACGTGTGTTTCAGCTCAGACACACTGAAGAGTGACGTAGTGGTTTTCCCTGCACCGTTTCCACCTGTAGATGCTGAACTGATCAGTATTGACGGAACAGACACTTTTACCAGAACTCAGACTTTACCGAACAAAGACAAGGTAAGCACATATGCTGTCACACTATATATAGTATGTTGTCAAAATTTAGTATGATTTATGTTGTAAATCGTTTTAACGCTAAAAATCTATTTTTTCTTTTTATTATTTTTTAACCATTTTTTTTTCATTCAAAATTACTATTATATAGTTTCTTGATAAATGTTATCACTTATTGCCACGATGTAGACTTCATTGAAAAGCGTCTTTTCCAACTGGGTCAAAGCATAAACTAAAATTATGCAACTTTTATCAACTTGACATTTGTGAAGCTCGTTTTTTTTCATTATATATTTATTCAGCTGTCTATTAGGTTCAGCCCAAATCTCAATGTCTTCATTTGCAAAGTCTCGCCGTAACCCTGCTTTCTTTAATAAAAGTCGGATGGTTTTGGTTTGAGGCACAAACTGATTTTTTACCACATGATGTCGCCGGAGACCGCGGATTTCAGTGTGATTATATATTTAAAAACTCCTCCTCCTTTAAAGACAGAAAAAAAAATCTTTTTTTTTTTTTTTTTTTTGGTCACCAGCAAGTCGTGAACCGGGCTTGTTCGTCGTGCAACAGTCGCTTAGAGGAGCGGAACAGATTGCCGTCAGCACAATATTTAACTAAAATATGTTTACTCCGGATAGATGATTACTTCACTTGATATATCTTTTATGATTCCATGATGCCTCCACGACGAGGAAAGGAATACGCATGGATTGCATTTTCCGTGTTTCTTTGTCTGTGCGGCTGCTCGTTCTCGCAATTGTCCTATTCCATATCGGAGGAGGTGAACAAAGGCACGGTTGTGGGGAACATCGCGAAGGATTTAAACTTGAATCTTCAGAACCTGGAGGACCGGGGATTGCATATTGTGTCGAGTTACAGTAAGAAATACGTCGACGTTAATTTGCGAACCGGAAACCTCTTTGTCAACGAGAGAATAGACAGAGAGGAACTTTGTCCGAATCTGATCAAATGTTCGCTAAAGATACAAGCGGTTTTAAACCATCCAATGACTGCACATCGCATAGAGCTTACTATAGTGGACATAAATGACAATTCTCCCGCATTTGTTGACAGCAAACATTCCCTGAATATTTCTGAATCGTCACTAACGGGAGAGCGGTATCCCCTCCCCGTGGCTGTGGATGCAGACACGGGGAGCAACGCTGTGAAAAGCTACAAGCTGAGTCAGAATGAACATTTCTCTCTAGATGTTCAGAGCGGCGGAGAACATGGCGTGTCGGCTGAATTGGTATTGCAGAAGGCTTTAGACAGGGAGTCGCGTTCGGTCATAACGCTTCTGTTAACGGCAATTGACGGAGGAAAGCCTCCCAAATCAGGGTCAATAAACATACGTATTTATATTATAGATGCAAATGACAATATACCAAGTTTCAGTCAATCACTTTACAAAGTGAGTGTGAAGGAAAACGCCCCTCTTGGAACACCTGTAATAAGATTAAATGCAACAGACATGGACGAAGGTATAAACGCTAAGATTTTGTACTCCTTTATTAAAAGGGGAAATACTGACCCGACAAATATCTTTGACTTACATGCAGAAACCGGAGAAATAACTTTGAAAGGCAATCTAGATTATGAGGAAACACGAGCTTATGAAATCAGAGTCCAAGCAAAAGATCAGGGTGCTTCACCTCGAAGTGCATATGCGAAATTATTAATAAGTGTGATTGATGTGAATGACAACGCGCCAGAAATATCTGTCACATCTTTAATGACACCAGTGAGAGAAGACGCGCAATTAGGGACCATCGTTGCTTTAGTTACAGTGAGTGATAA